GTGCGTGGGAGGCTCAGCACTTGCTCTCTGCTTTTTTCCTCTCTCCTTTAAGGCGCTTGTAGGAAGAGCGACATCTTCGCGCCTTTTTTGCATTTTTTTCACACACACACAAACAAAAAGAACGCGTGACTTGCAAAATGTATATATATAAAATACGCTTGTTGCACTGCACTTTCACATATTCTGCTACATTTTTAGCCATGATCTTTTTTATTTGCTTCTGCCTCTTGGCACGACTCTTGGCACGCCGCTGCACTTAGCACACACACATTTTCCTAGATTAAACACTTTTAAGCCAGACTTTTAATCTTTTTCACTGCACTACACTTACACATACACACGCGACACATTTTTCCGATTGATTTTCAACATTTATCCCGCTTTTCACGACCCGAAACCGGCAAAAGTACGCGGAGCTGACTATTAACGCGTGAAAACTGCAGCTGGAAGAGAGTGGCTTAGTACTCGCTCGCTCATAGCATGTGCTCGCTCTCCTTATGGCTCTCTTTCCAATTGTTTGCATATTGGAAACTGGAACTCTCTTTCTCTCTCTGCTAATGCATGTGGGCTACTTGTTGATTCTTGGGTGGGAGGGAGAGGATTAATATGCGGAGCTGCTGCGCTGGAGGCTTAGTGCTCGCAGATTCCTTTTGTTTCTTCTTCTTCTCTTCTCTTTGTGCAAACTGTAGCGAATGGGCTCAATGGAAGTGAATTGGAAAGGGATTTCTTTTGGTTTCTCTTTCCCCCGCAGCTATTGCAAAAGTGAGTGTGAATATGTGTGATATATAAATCTGCTTTAAAGCTACATTTGCCATGAATTTTCCACTTCCAAAGAGCCTTCACTGTATGTATGTAAATGTCCCGCATATGTTGTTGACCGGCCACCGGGAAAATTAAATTTAATTTTAATGCACTTAACACATTTTTCACTTAGTAAAAATGCTGTATCCGTATCCCTTTCAAACCAAACGGGATATAATTTTTGTCTCTTTTCCACACACATTCATGGGTGCACATAATTACAAATTGAATCTTCAGCTTTTATACATATATATTTACATATGTACATACACGTATGTATATACACACCCATTCTTTTTTGTTGTTTTTGTTGCGTTGTTGCTCATTAAGGACCTTTTTGGGCGAGTGATTAACACAAGCTGTTGCATATACCCCCAGGCGTAGGACGTCGGAGAACGACAACGGAAAAAATTAAGTGTTGGCGCTGCCGCCTGTAGGCTAACCCACTTGGCAAGTGCAAAATGGAATGGGAGCAACCGGGGCAACAATTACACGGCAAAGACAATTGCCAAATGAGTGGGAGGATGTGGTGCAGGTTGGTGGGCAATGTAAATGGGAATGGGTTTGGATTAAGGGTAAAAATAGTAAGTGCGAAATGAGCAAATAGTGGGGGGGCAACACAAACTGTGTATAGCCTGCGGGTAGAGGGACTCTGGATTTGCCTTTATTGTGCGAGTATTTAAGGCGGCAGTCACAGATGGCACAAAAATAGGTCTACGCACTTTTCAGGTTTAGTTTTTGTCTTGGTTGTCTTTTCCACAGGATTTAAATAAACAAAAGCTGCCTGTAGATTTTAGTGCTCCACTGCCAATATTCGAGTAATTTATTAAATTAAATCCAACGACCTCATTCATTTAGTTATGAAACCCAAAAACCTTTTAGAGCAAGATATTCAGTTTTCCATTAAATTCTATATCTTCTATTTGCTGCAAGCTTCGCTTCGGTTCACTATAATTTTTAGTTCAGTTATTTCTTTTCAGTTTTTTTTTTGAGAGGACTTTGCGCATTGTTACCAGTTACCACGAAAACTAACAACTACAAAGCTCGGGGAGCACTTAAATCGCCTTGTAATTACAGGGTTACATCTCCCTCCACTGCCAGCGCTTCCCAATTTTTTTTCCAGTGTATAAAATGTGAGCTTTCAATATAGTGCCATTCTTTTTTTATTCTTTTTCAATCACTGAACTTTTCAATCATATTTACAGATGGATTTTCATTGGGATTTTCCTCCCACTGCTGCTGCCTGCTGCATCCATTTGCCTTACTGCAAATATTTGTGCACTAAATCCTGCGCCCCAGCCCCAAACCCCCCCTCTCTATCACCCGCTGTCTCTCCCTCTCCCTCGCTCTCTCTCTCTCTTCATCTTTTCTTAGTCATTTTCATTGTCGTAATTGTCCAAGTTACGCACATTAATGTCCTTGTCACAAGGATATGGGAACAGGACATGGTATCTATGTATGTAGGTAGTAGGGTAGGGTACCCCCCTTTACACTGTACACTATGCTCCCCCTCCCCCTTTTGTGCCCTATCGCTCTATCGCATTGCTTCCTTTTGCTTTGGTCGCGCCTCGCTTTTGTTGTCGGGGCGAGTCAGCAGTCAAGTGGTTGTCTGTCTCCACTCAAGTGTCAGGCGGACTCAGGACTGTCCTCTGCTCATCACACACATAGACACAAACACACAGACACACCAGGATATGCACACACACACACACACACACACACAAAAACAGAGCTAGAAGCTCTGGCAGCGATCCAAGTGGCTGAAAAGGGAGACGACGGAGAGACTTAGTTCGAGGACACACTGCGTGTGCCATTTTCACTTCCACTTCCGTTCACACAGATACACACACACACACACGGAGACATGGAGTGCATACATATGCATATAATACATATGCATGAATCCATGATGGGTCCTGCGTCTAATCGTAAATATTCCTAGGCCCCGTTTTGTTTTGTGTCGCCTTCCTGCAACTCCTTCCTCTACTTCTAAGCTGTGTAATTTTCCGGCTTGCAGACTTACATAGCTGCCTCTACCCCACCCACTAGAGAACTTTCGTTCTGGCATTAGTTTATGCTGTAGTTATGGTTTATGTGATAGTTTTGCTTGATTTTTTTGTGCTCACATTTAAAATATAATTTAAAATAATTTAAATTAATTGACTTATGTATATATTCAGCTTTTGATCTACTCCTTTGGAATATCTTGAAAACTCAAATCACTTGCGAGTAAAACTACCGAAAAGTTCGCCTTAAGAAGTGCGATTTTCGCTGCATTAAACTAATTTCCTTCAAACAGGATACATCCTTCCTTACCCCCGACGCACACACACATACACCTACACCTTATACACTCTCTGAAATCGTTTAAAGCTGCACTCGAAACTTCATCTGCCACACAAAGAGCAAACAAAACGACGCCCCCCCGAAAAAGACGAGAGATCTGATGGCGGCAACCCAAGACGGGCCCGACTGCCACCCACCCATTTACGGCCCTACCTACAAATGGGTGGGTGGCAAGAAAACTCAAAGGCAAAGCGGAGTTTCCAGTTTCCAAATAACAACGGCATCGGTGAGTGCTTAAGCTCATCTATCAAAATATTTGTCGTTGCTTAAGAGCTCCCAAAAAAAATAAAAAAAATAAAAAAAAATTCAATGCCAAAACTGGGCTGAACCAAATCGATAAAGAATTGGTATTATATTTGCCCTGCAGGGGCGGATTAACCATAGTCACTGAAAATTTAATAATTAAATAAATTAAATAAAAAATAATTCAACAAAAAATGTGATCAAATAATTTTCCAATTATGTTAATACGAAAATAATATTATAATATTATTAATATTTCGATTGAAAAAAAAGTGAACGGGTGTGAAATAAAAAACAAATTAAGGCCCAGACAACGGATCAGCAGAGGGATCCGACTGTGTTTATCCTTCTTTTGGCCCTTGTTCGGGGAGATACTTTAGTTGAGCCTTATTTAGCCTTCCAGTACATAAATTCGGTTTGCCATCGCAAGGTTCGATTTTTTCGGTCCTTCCCTCTGTTTGAAATAGAAAAATATCAGCATACTTTTAATCTTAAGAGTTATTGAAATTAGATGCCTACCATTTTTGGCATAGCAATTTGTAATATCCAATTCACATTTCGAAAGCGGCATCCAGCAACCAGCCACAAATACGCAATTGGTTCCCAGTTTTTGGGGGGTTTTCACGTCACATATTGATTGGCACTTGTCGGGTTTACTTGCAGCGTGCCCGATTAGAACTGAAAATAAAAATATTTTTTTTGATATTATGATAATTTTATGATAGATCGATAGATGATACCTGTTAGAAATACTACGTGTAACCTCATGATGGGCAGCAACCAATGCAAGTGAGGCCAAAATTTTGCTTGGGCTGAAATTTAATATAACTTTCGTGATTTGTCACGGATTAGCCACAGATATTGCATAACTTAATTGAGATGTAAGACGAGTGGATTTATTACGGTATTCAGAGATTCGTCATGCAGCAGCAGTCCTCGGTCTGGCTGCGAATCAGCGTAACAGCGGCAGCGGTCTGTGTGTCGCCATCATTTAATGCAAATATTTCTAATATTTAAAGCGTAGCCGAAAACGAAATATAATTAATAATAATTTAACCTTTTAACGATTTGCTTTAATCTAAAATCCAGTCAATCTTTTTAAAATACCATTCAATTCCGTTAATGTTTTTATTAAATTATCGTCATATATTTTTAATTATATTATATATAATATATATTATTTATTTAAGTAACGTACAGATTTTTAAATCTTTTAATTTTGTGCTCCAGCTATTGTCATTTACGCGAACTAACCGTTCTCTTTGACCAGCGACATCGATTGCATTTACCTGTCGCCACTATGGTTTAATTTTAAACTGGTTGACCGGTTATTTCCACTTTCCAAATAACAACGGCATCGGTGAGTGCTTAAGCTCATCTATCAAAATATTTGTCGTTGCTTAAGAGCTCCCAAAAAAAATAAAAAAAATTAAATAAACTCAACGCCCAAAACTGGGCTGAACCAAATCGATGAAGAATTGGTATTATATTTGCCCTGCAGGGGCGGATTAACCATAGTCACTGAAAATTTAATAATTAAATAAATTAAATAAAAAATAATTCAACAAAAAATGTGATCAAATAATTTTCCAAATATTTTAATAAGAAAATAATATTATCAAATTATTAATATTTCGTTGAAAAAAAAGTGAACGGGCGTGAAATAAAAAACAAATTAAGGCCCAGACAACGGATCAGCAGAGGGATCCGACTGTGTTTATCCTTCTTTTGGCCCTTGTTCGGGGAGATACTTTACTTGAGCCTTGTTTACTTTCTAGTACATAAATTCGGTTTGCCATCGCAAGGTTCGATTTTTTCGGTCCTTCCCTCTGTTTGAAATAGAAAAATATCAGCATACTTTTAATCTTAAGAGTTATTGAAATTAGATGCCTACCATCTTTGGCATAGCAATTTGTAATATCCTCTTCACATTTCGAAAGCGGCATCCAGCAAACAGCCACAAATACGCAATTGGTTCCCAGTTTTTGGGGGACTTTCACGTCACATATTGATTGGCACTTGTCGGGTTTACTTGCAGCGTGCCCGATTAGAACTGAAAATAAAAATATTTTATTTGATATTATGATAATTTTATGATAGATCGATAGATGATTACCTGTTAGAAATACTACGTGTAACCTCATGATGGGCAGCAACCAATGCAAGTGAGGCCAAAATTTTGCTTGGGCTGAAATTTAATATAACTTTCGTGATTTGTCACGGATTAGCCACAGATATTGCATAACTTAATTGAGATGTAAGACGAGTGGATTTATTACGGTATTCAGAGATTCGTCATGCAGCAGCAGTCCTCGGTCTGGCTGCGAATCAGCGTAACAGCGGCAGCGGTCTGTGTGTCGCCATCATTTAATGCAAATATTTCTAATATTTAAAGCGTAGCCGAAAACGAAATATAATTAATAATAATTTAACCTTTTAACGATTTGTTTTAATCTAAAATCCAGTCAATCTTTTTAAAATACCATTCAATTCCGTTAATATTTTTATTAAATTATCGTCATATATTTTTAATTATATTATATATAATATATATTATTTATTTAAGTAACGTACAGATTTTTAAATCTTTTAATTTTGTGCTCCACTATTGTCATTTACGCGAACTAACCGTTCTCTTTGACCAGCGACATCTATTGCATTTACCTGTCGCCATCTATGGTTTAGTTTTAAACTGGTTGACCGGTTACGTTTTCAGCTTCAACCTATTTTGTTGAAACATAGTCAAAATTTACGTTTTATGCTTCGGCCGTTTTTGTTTAAACCTTTTTATGTAAACAATGCAATAAAAAGGACTTCTGAAAACTAGCCAATCTTGTAGAAAATTTATGTATCTATCGGATAAAATTATTTGTTTGGGGCTGAGAGAGCAAACTAGCTAGTAATTTTAAACTGAATATCAAAAACATGGAATACGACTTCAATCAAGCAAATAGAACGTTATCCCATTGCCGCCCAAGGGGGTATTTAATATTTCTACGAAATTTATGTTACTTTACCATATTTTACGCATTACAGATGAAAGATATCGGTGGTCATTTTTGTTTTGTAAGTAAAGAGGAGGAGGGTGCTACAAGGAGCCTTTACAGTATTATTTTCCGCGGTTTAACAAAGGGTGCACAACTTTTTAAATATAGGGGTGTTAAGTGGGTTAAGAGTCTCCGTTTTGATCGCCGGATTGCCCTGGTTTTTTGTTATCGTTATCGGCGCGGTCATGCTGCACGGTAACACTTTTTGCAAAAATAATTAAAAACAAAACAAAGTGATCGATTTAGCAACAGACGCAGCCAGCCCAGAAAGCGCCAAAACTTCCTTACTCTTTGTCTGCCAGACAACGCGCGTGCTGCCCCAGCTGCCAGCCGACATCCGCTGTCACACGGATCCCCATCTCGCGACATTTAATACAATTTATAAACAACGAAGATGGGTTTGAAAAAGGCCCTGGACGATTGCCTGATTGATTTTGATTGTCGCGTGATGATCACGGACCTGCTGGAGGAGTACAAGCTATCCTACAAGGAGGTAAATGACACATTGGAGGCGTACATCAAGGACCAGGAGCCAGCAACGAAATTCGAGAAGCGATTCCTGGTGCACGGCACGGGGCTGACAAATGGCGCAAACGATGAGTTCTACACGATTGTGCAGGAGAGCAAGCTGGAGGATTGGCGCAAAAAGCTGAGGGATGCGCAGTGGCAGCTTTACAGCGTGGAGATTGCAGGGGGCTCCAAGTCGCCGGCGACTGTATTCCGGCCCATGCAGCACCTGGAGGTGAAGCTGGCCGGCGTCGAGAGGCGCGCTGGCACCAGAATTGCTGTGGACAGGGCCACGAACGGTGTGCAGAACGCAGGGCCATCCACCAATGCTGTTCCGAGGGCAGCTGCGGCCATGAATGGCGGCTCCAAGACTACGAATGGAGTAAAATCAGAGCCTTCCGCAAAGCCTTCCAGCAGCAAGGAAAACTCTGAAACCGAGACAAAGAAGACATCGCCCAAGGAGCAGGCATCAAAGGGCAAACCAGCAAAGAAGGGCAGCATCAATAGTTTCTTTTCAGCAACAGCAGCAGCAGCAGGGGCTCCTGCAGCCGGCAGCAAATCCAAAGAAGTGAAAGCCACGCCCAGCAAAGCCAACACAATGGACAATTTCTTCAAGAAGCAACCAGCAGGAGGAGCAGCTGCCACAGCAGTCAAGAAGCAGTCCCCTGAGAGTCAGGCCAAGAAGTCCCCTGAAAGCCAGCCCAAGAAATCCCCTGAGAGTCAGGCCAAGAAGTCCCCTCCCATGCAGACAAAGAAGGAATCCACAGCCAACACGTCCATTCAACTGTTTGCCGAAGAGAGTGCCGAATCCTCCGATGAGGAGGAGAAACTGGACAAAATACGACGCAAAGTAATGGCCTCGGACAACGAGTCCGATCAGGAGAAACCCGCCACCAGCAAGCGTCGTCGCATCAGCGACTCGGAGGACGATGAGCAGCAGCCCACCAAGAAGACCGCCGAAGAGGAAGTCATCGCAGTGGATGATGAAATGGAGACGGAACCCTCCAATGACACCTTTATGGATGACGACGGCTTTGTCGTCACTCAGCGGAAGCCCACGAAGCCATCAAAGGCTCCAGCTGCCAAAAAGAAGGGTTCGCCTTCAGATTCGGCTGCAGCGGCCAAGAAGAAATCGCCGCCAGCGTCGGCCAAAGTCAGCAAGGAAGCATCCAAATCGAAGCAGGGAAATATCATGAGTTTCTTTACCAAAAAGTGAATTGGGGGAGGGGAATATTTATACTGGAATAAATCCTAAAGAATGAATATATTTTGCTTAGTTTTTAAGAAAATTTATGGATTGTGAATGAATTTTATATCCGCTAGCAAAAGCTATTATTAATCTTTGGAAAATTTGAATAGGCCTATTGCCTGGCTAAAATTTGCTCTGTTAATTATACACCTTATCCATTAAAATATATTTATGCTATTCTTTTCTGTCAATATCTGAAAATGTTATTTTTGAGAGCTTGAATTTAAAAAAATAAATTATTAAACTGAATATTGATAAATTGAGAAATTCCATTATTCGAATAAATCTTTTGTATGCTGTATTTTTAAGACTCTTTTCGATTAGATAAACCCCCCTGCTTCACGCTGTATTCTTTCTAATACTCCATTGCTTTGAGAAATATTAATCAATCGATTGTATGTAATAGTAAATATAAAATCATTAGCACATATCAATTGAAGGGATTGCCTATAACTTGGAGAACTAACCCATAGTCAACATTTCCATAAATCTACTTTTGATTTTGAGGGAGAGCAGATATATCAGTAAATTTCAGCAGCAAGGATAAATCCATAAATTTTCTACTTTAAATTGTTTCACATAGATTTCAAGAATAATAGGAGATCTATCTTTGGGATTATTTAAATGATAATCATTCAAAATTGTAGAGATAAACATAGTATATAACCCTATGAGGTCTCAAAATAAATGTGTACTAACTTTCAAAATTCGGAAGCAATTAATGGAATTTCTTTTATCTAATTTTAAATACTTCTCAAAAATTAACCAAAGATATAGTATGAGTACGAATTTATCCAAAAAATGTTTATGAAATTAAATTAATTTATATTAAATTTAACAGCCTGCAATAATATTCAAAAGACTTTTGTTTTGTTGTTAAAAAGAATTTTTATTGCATTTGTTAATAGCTGCTAGAAGTTTGTTTGAGTATCTTGTTGTTTGTTGTAATTTTTAGTTTGTTTTGTATGTTTAATTATTCATATTCGATTGCGTGTCTGTACGTGTGTCCGAATGTATGTGTGTGTGTGTGTGTGTGTTGGTGTGTATCTGTGTGAAGACTGCCCTGGCCTACGCGTTATCAATGCGTTTTTGTATTGGTTTTTATTTTTTATTATTCAATTCATATTCGTATCTTTCATTTTTCTCATCTTCATCTCCGTCTTTGTATTGTATGTATTTCAAAACACTTTCAAAAATTAAGGCGAGGTTTAATACAATTTTTGAATATTGATTAAGTTATTCTGTTGTTCGTTTCTGCAGTGATTGCGTTTGATTCCTATCTGATTTTTAAGCATTAAAAGCTTACAGTCGGGCTGCCCAATGGCAAGCAAATACATATATACGTGATTGGAGGGTAGGGATCTGTAACTGGATCTGAAACTGTATTCGGCAACAATATAATATCTTTCCTGGTTTTGATGGTCGCTAAGACAAGAGATCGATTCGATTCGGTTCGGTTCGAAATGCCTAGGCTTAGGTAGAAGCTTCTCAGAAGCTAAATTATTTGCTTATAATTAAATTGGATTTTTGCTTAAAAAGGGATTTGATTATCTCCTCTCCTCCCACTGTACGCTGGGCAATATACATACGTACATATATTCCCATTAAATATATATCTGATTAATTTCCGAATAAAATTGAACTAAATTTAGGTAGCGTACAGTGGAGTTTGTTTTGCTCTTTGTAGCTCTTCTTCTCAAAATATTGCTCGCATATGCAAAATGTAAAACTCATTTGCTATAAAAATCAGTTGATCAGTTTTTGTCCTAGAGGGTGGTGTGATATGAACATAATGGTGTGTGCATGATATGATTTCCTCCTAATAAAATATGATTTTTTCCATTTTGTTTTGTTTTTTTGTCATCAATTTTACTTAATCATCTAAATGAATGTAACATTCGTTTCGTACAATTTAATATCTCAGCACCATTTTTTTAATAATAGCACAAAGTATATATAATAATATCTGTATTGTATGGATCAACAGTAGAATTTTCCTAGAATTTGTTTTCGTATTCGTTTTCGTTTTGTGTGTGTTTTTTTGTTGTTGTTGTTGTGGTTTGCTCTACAGAATAAAATAGATCTAAGTTAAGTTATGGTTTTTGGGTTTTGGGTTTTTTTTTGCACGCTTTTTCTATTCCTTCTTTCTCTGTGGTGTGTGTTTTGCTATATTTTGCTAGACCTGTGTATCTACAACACTGCCATAGGACTCTTCAGCAAATTTGGGCGCAATAAAATCCTCGTAGTAGTTGATGAATATATCCTTAAATTCATCGGCTATGAACTCCAGGGCATTCAGCATCTGCATCAATTCGCGATCGTTGCACTTGTAGTTGCTCAATGCCATCACATCCCAGAAGTAGGCAAAGTACTTCACATACTCAATCGACTGTCCGCCGTATTGGGCCATCACACCGGGCAGCACGGCGCGCATAATGGAGCCCAGCTTATTGAACTCCCAGTCATCCAGTACGGTGGCCCCCTCTTCAGGCCACACACAAGACGATAGAAAGAGAATACAGAGAGATAGAGACAGTGATAGTTGTAGTTTTTGGCACACATGGCAAGGGATTGGGGGAAGGGAATAGTTTTTTTTTTTTTTGGGGATTTTGGAAAACAGAAGACCGAAGCTTGATGAATGTGAAATCAAATGACATCTCAAATACAGGTGCGAAAGCAAGAGCTGGCAATGAATAAAAACAAAGTAAATTATACAAAATTTTAAATATCAAAGCGTTTGCTCTCTCTCTCTCTCTCTTTATCTCTGTCTCACAGACGAACATACCACGATGCACCATCAGGCATTGCTCGAGCAGGAGGCGGGCCAGTGCCACCTTGCACTCGTGCAGCTCCATTAGCTGTGTCTCGGCACGCTCGATGGCGGCATACAGCTTGCAGCGCTCCTCAATCAGCTCGCAGTCAATGAGAGACGTATTGAAGGACCAGAACCACTCCAATTTCTGCGCCTCGCCACAGTGCGGACACACAATCAGCTCGGCGCCATTGTATTCCGGCTGGGTGTACTCCTCGGACAGCCACCAGCGTAGGTTCGGGGCATGCGGCAGGTTATGGGGCGTGAAGATCTCCATGCACTTGGGATTATCACAACGATAGCGATGGAATTTGTGCTGCAAAAAAGGAGAGCAAAAACCAATTAAATTAATACGGAAATGTTGAGCATACATTCCCCCCCATCCATCCATCTATCCATCCACTTACGAACTGATCATCCGTATGGGATAGCTGGCAGGCAGTGCAATGGCACGTGATGCCATGTTCCTTGAGCTGTTTGGTGCGTTCGACCTGCGGCAGCTGCTGGTAATTGCCACTGGCAAAGCAATTATAGATACCCGATCCCGCCGGCAGATCCAGCAGTGCCAATGCAGTCATCTTTCTGCCGGAGAACTTGCTGCAGATGGTGGAGGAACAACTGTGGCGACAGAGACTCAGTGTCTCTGGATAGACGGCATAGGCCACAACCGCCACCTCGCCGGCCAGCAGATGCAGATGGCCCTCCTGCAGCCGCATGGGCGCTGCCCACAGCTGGAACTCGTTGAGGGGCGAGAATACATGCGGATCCGCGGGCAGCACAAACGAGCGGCAGTGTGTGAGCGATCGATGGCGCAGCTGGCTAATGTGACGCATCAGCAGAGCCGCACAGAGCAGCTCCCACTCGGCATTCGACATGCGGGAGGCTGAGGGCAGGCTCTTCTCCAGCTGATCGAAGAAATTCGTGCATTTGCTCAGGTAAATGGCCAGAATGTGCGCTGCCAGTGCCAGGGCAATCAGCGTTTCCGATGTGTGCTCCTCCCGGAGCCGCTCCAGTCGCAGCACAGAGCTGTAGCCAATGTCCTGTCTCTCCAGCAGGGCGCCGTTGATGGCTGACCAGAGCTTGCTGAGCGTCGGCTTCTTGCGACAGTGCGCCAGCAGCTCCGGCAGTCCCGTGATCAGCATTCGCAATGCCAGCTGCAGCAGACGCGGCATTCCAAAGACCTCGCCAAAGGACTCGAACAGTTCGATTTGATGGCCATGACACTCCACGGAATGGATGGCAGCGTGCTTGAAGCGACACTGACGCGAGCAGTAGACAACCAGCCGGTTGGAGCAGTAAATGCAGGGAAAAGGAATGAACTGAGTGATGCCACAATAATCGCACACACGACAATTGCCACTCGGCACCATGGCCACCGCCTCGGACTCGAAGATGAGGGCATTCCTGGCCAGCGCACGGGTGCTATGCAGCGACGAGGTGTTGTCCAACCAGGCACTGTTTTTGGGGGCATTGAAAAGATGTGTTAGTGGGCCGGTCTCTTCTTGTGGCTAATTCTCACTCACATTTCAAAGGCTTTCATGTCGTTGGTTTCGAGATCATCGCCCGTTTGCACAGCCATCTCGAAACGCTCCACCTTGAGCACCTCGCACTGGTGCCACAGCTCGTGGGTGCGCGTCTCGAAGACCTGGTTCAGTTCGATGTGCAGGAGCTCGTGCAGATGCTCCTCGCAAAGCGCAAAATTGCGCAGTTTTAAGGCACAGGCGGCTTGCCGCAGCTTTATCAATGGCAAATACTCCTCCGGATAGCCCAGGTCCAGGGCGCACAGGCAGTCATCATAGGATTCCTGTTGGAAAATCCCAAAATTATTGCGAGAGTTATGCAAAAGCATTTGCTCATTCACTCACCGCATACAGACCACAATCGTAGAGGACCAGTGAGCGATTGGCATGGGCCAGGGCAGCGGCGAGGGTGTTCCGTGCCGGGGCCAGGAAGATGGCCTCTGTAAACAGATCGCTGGCCTTGAGCGGATGCTTCTCCTTGCGGTATGAGTCATTGCCAGCCTCGCGCAAGCGACGCGACTCCTCCTCGGACTTGAAGTGGCCCGTTTGGTGGCGTAGATGTTGAAACCATTTGAGTACATGTGTTCTGTAAGTAATTATGCCAAAGAGGGAAGGGTGAAAGCCGTTATATATGTATGTATGGTGGCGGGGTTGGGGTGTCCACTTAATTATTCACAGAAAATGTCAAAACGAAGTGACCCAAATTCCCCAAAATCGACAGCGAAAATGCTACTTAACCGTACGAATGCATGCAATCAAGGTGCATGCCTTATATAAGGTGGGTGGGGGGCAGTCCAAGCGAGGATACCGGATACCGGATACCAGATACTCTTTTTAGTAGCCAAATCCGTTACAGTTGCATACCACAAGGAAGGGGAAATGAGAGCGAAGCAATCAAACGAATTAAACTAACGGACAGACAGCCCCTTACCATATATTTACATACCCTGCAAGCAATCAGTACACAACCAGGGCTGGCAGTACACGCCCACACACACCCACAATATTACAAACACACACCCACAACATTACAAACACACACACCTGACAATTACAAACACACACCTGACATTTCTGAAGCCATTCACTTTGATGGGCCACAAATGTGGATTTAATTTCACATTGTTGCGGTGTGGTGGGGGCGCGTATTTGCATAATTTGATTGCATTGCAGCCCTGGTACGCAAAAACACTTTCGCTCTCACACGCACACCCACACACGCGCATTGCACTGGGACACACACACGGGACACACACACGAGCACACGAATAACCGTTTGTTTCACCTAAAATCCAACAGCGGCTCCTTTGTCGTTATTGTTGTTGTTGTTGTTGGTGGTGTTGGGGATGAAATACTGAGACCGCCCACCGCCCCAATCAGGTCGTCATCCTCTTCCCCGCCATACTCCGGCCTAGAAAGTGGCGCCGATGTGCTGGCGGCCACGGTGTCGCCATCGCCGTCCGTCTCCCGATTGAGTTTTTGCCGTTGCACTGGCGTTAAAAGCAAAAGCAATTGCAGTTCATCTTTGTAGTGGAGCTCCTCCAGTTTGAGTTGTCGCAGCTGGTGGCCAATTAAATCACCCAGCGACGGAACTGGAGCAGAAGAAGAAGCAGCGGCAGCAGGAGCAGTAGAAGAAGAAGAAGCAGCAGCAGCAGTAGCAGTGGCAGCAGGTGGAGAAGGAGCAGCGGTGGCAGCTTTGTTGTTCACACGCACAGATGAAGAGGAAGAGGCCATCACTTGCTTCCTTGCTGTTGTTTGGGGGGGCTTGCTTGGACTTTGCTTTGTTGGTCTTCTCGCGTCTCACGGTCTCACACTGTCATCCACTCAATGTTCCATGATTTTCCCCTCTTTTGGTCAATGCTGCGTTAATCCTGGCGAGTTAATGGCTATCAATTCGTATGCACTGCACCCCGACATGCTTAAACTAATGAGAGTTGCTAAAACTTGGCCAAATTTTTTAGCACGTTATGGCTTTCATATTGATTTTTTGAACCCGACAATGCGCTAACGCGTGCCATTTGTGACTAAAAGTAGCCACTGCAAAAAATACTAACATAAAATACTGCAGCAGATTTTTCTAGCTGTCTGGCAGCCCTGTGGACAGCGCCAAGCTTAAATAACTGTGTTTGCTTGCGCTAGAAAACTGTGTGTGAAATTGTGAAAATACGTTGGCATAGCGCACGTTACCATCATTAAATCGTAGAATAAGCAGTCCGTGTGCTATAGTCACACTTGATAAGACAGTATACACAAATGCTCTTGTCTTGTCTTTCTTTTCCAGTTTAATCCATTCACACACACACGCACATGCACCCACACACTGCACTCGGCTCTCTCGCTGGCGTCGCGTCAGCCACAAGTTGTAAGTTTTATCTGTCATTTATCTAGTGTTTGCTTTTGATCTTATCATTCTCTGCCTATCCTCCGCTCTTTTTCCTTTCGCTTATCTCGCGCAGCTTCGCTGGGGCGATCGGATCAAATCTCTGGCATTCCTTCCATATAAGAAACATTTCTCCGTCAAAATTTCTGCTGTCACGTTGTGTTTTGTGTTGTGTTGGTGCGTGCTTAATTGTTAAGCAATAATATGTCCAAAAACGAGGATACACCCATTGCCAAGTAAGTGTTAAAAGGACGGGGACGGCTTATCGTCTGACTTTTGGCATAAATTTACGTGGAAGGAATAAAAAGTTTCGCAAATATATAAAATCTCTTTTGGGTAAAATTAACATAAAGTGGAGAGCCCAAATGAGCTGCTGATTTGTTAAATAACCGTAAAAGCGGACAGCGTGGGAGCGGTCACAACTGTGCCGGCTCTCTCTCCCTCTCTCTCTCTCTTACTGACTCTTTGTGTTTGTGTCTGTGTGGGGGTGTGTGTGTGTAGGTGCGCTTCTGAAAGGCCTCGAAAAGTTGGATAGAAAAAAAATTGAAGTGGCTACGCTACTCTACGTATTTTGCTATTCGCCCATTCTTCTTTTAGTTTCCTTTTTGTCATGCCCTTTCTGTAAAGGGTATGACGATTTATTGATAATATAAATGCCATGGGTATCCGTAATGCGTAATTTATTAACAAATCTTGGAAACAATTGCCAATTGTCGTGCCACGTCCTTCAGTACATTCTGGCGATATTTCTTGACTCTTTCGAGATATTTGATGCTTGCCTCAATGCTCTTCCTCTCTGCACCTGTCAAAGTGTTGGCCGAGCGTCCATTCAATTTTTCGTTAATTTTTTTCTGAGTGTCCTTCTCGATCTCCAATGCATTATCAATTGCAACAAGTTTACGAAACATACGCTCTTGTAACTTATCGACGATCCAGATGTAAAAGAACGCACTCGCAGTGCCGAAATTCAATATTAAGAGTACGCTACCCAAAATATCCATAATATTTTAGAGCAAACAATTAAGTTAAGGGGAAATTTTAGGTTTATGTAGAATCAAGTTAAGTTAAGGGTTTGGACTGACATAGATTAAAAAATGAACTTTGTTTGGAATATGCCTACTAATTCCTAGCTGAAGCTCCCATTCCCATAGCATTGTAGTTTAAGGGTATTTAAAGCTTCGCTTACCGCTGGCTGGCCTTTACTTTCATCTTATGTATTTTTTCTTTTTTGTTCTGGGCGCCCTCATACCGCTTGCAATTGCGCTGAGGAAAGTTGCAGAGGCAAGTAGTTTAGCGCCATTTGCACTTTTCGTAGTAAAAATTACGCACACTTGTACCACCCCCACCCCTCAGACGATGAAAACTTATCACACATACAGATGGGGGGGGAGCTGATGAAGAAGGTGGCACTTGCTGCCTCCTGGAGTTGGCATTGGCAAAAGGGGCGTGGCCTTTAAGTAGTCCTTGCTCGTAGTTTTCGTTAAGTAACAAAACTTCAAATTGAATTTTTCGCTGCACTTTTCATTTTAGCACCTATCAAAATAAAGAAAAACCCTTTTTCCGAAGCATCTCGGCGCCTCATTACAGTGGCAACTGCCTGATGATGGTCTGTGGTTGTGGGTGGGCCAGGGGGCTGGCACAGGGTATGTGTGGAATGTGCACGCTTACATTGTGTCTGCTTAAATGCCGCAGTTTCTTGCCAGGCAGCAGCGAGCAGCCAACAGTACGTTTTAATTCTCTTTTGGGGTTTTTCCTGGCAGTTGAAGTTGCGAGCATTTTCCCTTCACCAAACTAACAAAAAAAAAAAAAGGCAAAAAGTTTTCCTTGCAGTCGCTGCTGCTGGCTGCATCGTCTTTTACTTGTTTATTGCCAAAAACAGTACATTTCTATAGAAACTTCTAATAGAAAATCCAAAAAAAATAAAAATAATTCCATTTAAGGCGGTTTTTGGGGCAGTAAATTTAACAGATATCGGGATCAAACAAAAGCCTATTTAAATGGTACTAAAATATATCTCTCGCTTTACTTTCATTGGTTTAATTAATTAATTTGTTTTTACATAGTTTCTTTACTTTATTTAATTTATTTTAATTTTATTTTCTTTTCCACACAGTTCGGCAAAGACCCGACGAAATAACTATGGAACGGCTCCAAGCTTTCGCCTGCTGGAGCAGGGGCAGCTGCAGGCCCAGACCCATGGTGGCAATGGCAACAACAATAACCCAGCAACGCCCTCAACACCTTCACAAATTTTTTGTTTGCACGGACGCTCCAATAACGTGGAAGGTACGTACATAGCCTGCACACTAACTTGTGGCTGGCACTGTGACAACTGTGGCGCTGGGCACTTTCGTGTCGCTTTCAATCAGTTGTGTGGGTGGTTGAAGGGGGTGAACAATTTGCAGTCATTCACAAATGATCAAGAAAACGCAGCAGGCAGGCATTTTTCCAGCAAAAGTCAAATGCAAATAAATCGAATAAACAAAAAAAAAACAACAAAAAAAACAAACACGAAAATAAGCAAACAAAATTAGTTTTTCCACCTAACGTTTCTATTCGTTTCGTTTCGTTCGTTTTCTGTAATATTTTCGTGAATTTGTTGATTGTTCGTAAGTGTTCCGTTCCGTTTCGTTCAGAAAATCGAAAAATTTTGTGCAATTTGTGAGAGAGAAGAAACTACATATACCAGCAGTATCGGGGATAAACGATTCGCTAATTGGCAGACGGCACGAAAATCGGTAGGAAATGAATGATGTCCGTGGTGTTGGTGCTGGCGATGGCAATGGCGATGCCGCTGCCAACAGCAGTGTTTATGGCAAGACGACGCTGGATAAGACTCGCATCGAAATGTTGCATGACTACGGTAAGCGAAAGAACCAACTTGCCACCACCTACACACACACACACACAGCAGCCCATCAATCAGCTGATGCTGCTGCTGCTGCTGCTCCCTTACCGATTTTGGAGCAAGTGCTGCCCACGCCTCCATCATCTGGGAGCATAATCATAATTTATGCTCTTTGGTGACACAACGCCACTGGGAGCAGCATCCAGAGAGAGAGAGCGTAGAGTAGTAGACCGCATCCGACTATTGGCATATGCCATAAATCGCAAAGAGGAGCAGCAGCACCACCACCAGAGAGAAACATCTCTGCTGCTCCTCCTCGTAATTTACTTATGACAACGTTCGATGGGGCTCCTCCCCCCCGCCTACCCAAATAAATGTTGGGGTCATTTTTGCTGCCACTCAAGCTACTATATATCGTAGGAGCCAGAGACTCCAGCGCCAAGAATCGTTCAGCAAGTTTATATTTTAATTTCCTCTCAACGGAGTCTGCAAGATGTTCAATTTTTTCCGCTTTTTTTCGGTGGATGATTCGATTTATTGGCAGACGATGAACGACGGAACGACGACCCCCCTAAATGACATTAGCTTGTGTCTAGACGGTAGATGGTGCAGCAGGTCTAGCAGGTTTAGTCTTATGAACAGTGCAGCTTTACTTTTTGCGGATGCATTTTTATTGACTGCCTAGGGGAGTTCTTTATGGCAGGGCATAAATGTTTAAAGTTGTGCAAAACCCAAGAAAGTTTTTAGGGATTTATTTAAGGAAAATGTTTGATAGGGAAAGATGGAAGACAATCTAAGCCGAAATAGCTTTCTGAATGAACCAAGAGGCACGAAGAGATAAGCCTTTCAAGGCAGACTGCGCCCCAAGCGACACTAAATCGAAACTGGTGACGCGTGATTCCAAAAAGAAATGCAAGCGACCGATGGGTGCTGCCGCATGACGCGTGAAACCTTTGAACCAACAAAAAATATAATTGGTAAAAGAGTTTTAGGACTTAGATTTATTTTATGGCAATATAGGCGGCACCAACATACAAAATATACGACTAGCCTCTGTTTCTCCGAGTTCTTTCCATTATAAACGAATTAGTGACTAAATGAAGCAAAAGTCAAGCTCTTTGCATGACTGTAGGCGTAAATACTTTGTTTTTACAGCTTAAATGTCTATATAAAGATATTTGTATGAAAGATTTAGGCCTACACACAACTTATGCGACAGATATGCTTCTTGGGCGTAAGAAAAGAAATCCCCCTAAATGTGTGGGTATACCAAAAAGACCCTTCAGTGTCTAAGGACCACCCACACAAACACACACATATTTGTGTATGTATTAGCGTTATGTTTAAATATAATATGCAATCATCAGAACGCTTTCAGTGCATTCAATCATAGTTCAGGTAACAAGCTCACCCATTAAATGACCCGAGAGCACACCCCTACCCCTACCCCAACCCCAGCCCCAATTCAAGACTCAAGACCAAGTCAAAAGCAGTTGCAGCAGCTGCTTCCAATTGTGTGTGGGCCCAGTCCCTAGTTAGTCGTTCGTTAAACGCGGCCCAGATGGGACCTGGTACTGCGCTCCCCTTGGCACCTTGGTACACAAACCCATATGCCGATATTCTGGAATACTAATCAGTTGGCATAGCATACGCAGTAGTTGGTTCCATCGTTTCCATGCATAGTGATTCCACCCATCTCATCGTTATTGTTATCGATGCGTGTTTTGGACTTTGGATAACATGGATTTGTTCAATCGGAAAGAGCAGAACAGTAGCGAAGGTAACTATGTATGGAATAGTGTGGCTAATGAGGAACAGGCCACAGATATATATGGGTAGGTAGGTGGGTAGATAGATGTGTCGCAAGGGGCTAGACTTTTGGATGCAATTGGAGATGGAATTTCTAAGGAATTTGTCTGAAAGATAAGCTAGGAAAGGGGCTGATAAGAAATGGGAGAGTACTAGAGAAGAAGGTGAAGATTTTGTTCTTTAAAATGACTTCCAAACTACAAGTAAAAAGTTACATATTCCCTCCATTTATCTATTTAAATTAATTTGAATACATTAGGAAATAATATTCCCTTTTATAATAATATTTGTTTATAGGGCAATTCTTTGTAATCTCTTTGCTGATTTTAAGAAAGTACTAAAGTCTTGAAAGATTCGAAATTGAGTGACTATCTCTGTGGAACTCATTCATGTTTTTATATCTAGTAGATAATAAAACATGCAAGGCTTTGAGAACTTGAGAAAGTAGATCATGGAACTTTAGATTGTAGTGCAAGCTTACAGATTGAATATTCATAATATTTATAATTGATAAAATTGCATTTTATTACAAATTTGAGGGAATAGTTCAAGTAAAATAATATTTTATAATAGGTTTACCAATTCTAAAATCTTAAGATATTAATTAATAAAATACCATTACCATTCATAATATTATTTCTGACTAAGTTCTTGGAAGGTTTTTAACCATTTTTGGTACCTAAAAGTCTAAAAAATTTCAGAGATTTAATATTGATTTATGATCCTATTGAAATAATTATTTAAACCATTAATTGAATCATCAGATTAACCATTTAACCATGCAATAATCTTTCTAAAAACACCTGCGCTCTGCCCTTTGAATAATGCAAATATAGTTATTGATGAATATTTGATGATTTTCCTTTTTGTGGGATGATGGAACACCTTTCGTCACATTGTTGACAAAACACACAAAGCGATGGATTGGCGGCATTCATATTTGCACATAATGGAATACACTCGCATGGAGTAGTAGTCGTACACTCGTACTCGCTAGCCTTTGTTGCAGATTTATTTCTATTCAATTACGGACCCGTTTTGTGTGCACTTGGGATCGAGTTTTGGGTTCCCACTTGCATTGCATTCCCACTTCTGCCATTAATTATTTATAAGTACATAAAGCACACAATTGTTGTTATGGCTGGATGGAAGGCAGCAAGGTGCATGCCACCTGCAACCTCTCCACATACTTTCCGCATTGCGCAAACAAACAGGGAACGCAAAAAGGAGGACGCGGATGCACAGCCATGGACGACGACGACGAGGACGACGACGACGGTCCAAGGTGACCAATTAAAGATGCAGATGGATCGGAGTTGTTTAAATTGCAAGTATGATGATTCTTATGCATCAGATGGTTGCCTCTGCTGCAGCTGCAGCCTCGGATGCGGGTCTAATAGGTGAAATTTTCACGTGCCACAATTGCAGTCGTCATCATCATCATCATCATCGTCGTCGTGTGTGTTTTCAGAGCCGGGCAAGGTACCAGTACCGGGCCTTGGTTATGCACTGGAATTTAATTTCGCTGCCGGCATTGTTACTGCCACAGAAAGAAAGAGCGAGTGAGTGAGAGAGAGACAGAGAGAGGGAGAAAGAAAGAAAGAGATGTCATATGGGGACACGAAGAGGATATGCGAACGAGGAGGTGGCAGTGCAGAGAAGAGGTCGCCAGCAGCAGACGGGTGGCGGGCGGCCAGCAGGCGTCGGGTGTGGTGTCCTTGCTCTGAATTCAAATGAAGAAACCGCGCTCGGAACTACAGGAACTACGTGAATATTAGAGCTGGGAGACACGTGACACGAAACGGTGAAAGAGTAACGGAACTATGTAAACATTAGAGATGGGAGACAGTCGGAGTGGAGCGTGAGACGATTCGATAGACTTGCAGGGAACTTTGTCTAACTTTTAATTAGAGTAAAATAATTTTGAAAGATAATATTTGATAAGAAATGGCCAGAAAATGAAGCGATCGAGGCATAAAACTATAAAGCTTTAATTGTTAAATAGATTCCATATTTTCCTTGCTCAAACAACAGAAAATCTCCTAATCCTGCACTTGAGGAACGTATAAAAAATACCCAAATAAACATTTCTAGACTGAGTACGCCTCAAGAATTCCTAACGCACACATCTCTGACAAAATGAACGGCAGACCGACCAGGCTAGCGAAGCATATGCACATGTGTGAAGCCACCTTTCTCCTGGTGGACCAGCAAACAAAGGGGGACCAGAAGAAGGCACTGAAGCAGCAGAAGGAGATGGAGATGGAGCTGAAAGGAGAAAGCAGGAGCTGTAGGGTAGAAGGCGGAGAAAGCAGGAGCTGTAGGGTAGGAGGTCGGGAAAGCAGGAGCTGTAGGTAGGAGGTCTGGGAGCAGGAGCTGTAAGGAGGTCTGGGGCAGGAGCTGGAAGCAGCAGCAGTAGGGGCAGGGGCATGGGCAGGGGCAGAGGAGCAAAAGGAGCAGAAGCTGAAGCGAGTTGCAAGTGCAAAGAAAATGCATGCGGAAATGACAAAGCATGAAATACGGCTGCGACAAATGCAATAAAGTATTTAATAGACTGCTCCTAGCCAATGCTCTGAAGCGGCCACCAACAGCAGCAGGAGCAGGGGCAGCAGCAGCAACCGAGCAGCCGAGCAGCCACTACCCAACTTTCGCTGCCACTGACACCCAAAAAAAAAAAAGGAGAGAAAAAAAAAACAAGGAACAAAATCCAAAGTACAGAAATACAGCAAAAAAAAAGAAAACGAAGCGGGAAAACTTCCGGAAATGGGTCATATAACCCGTAACGAAACCATATGGGAGAGGCGTGGCAGCAGCAGCAGCAGCACCGAGGGAGCAGGCGGCAGCAGCATTGGTGGTCATTATTCACGTACCATGTTAAATAAATTTAAATGCCTGTTTTGTAAATATGTATTGCTCATGCTCAACGGCATAACAGATGGCCCCAAAGGGCAGCAGGCGGAGCAGCAGGAGGAGTACAGGAGATGCAGCAGCTTAAAACTGCTTTTTCAGCGTAAAGAAAGCGATCCCCCAAAAGGGCGACAGGATCCACAAACAAACACACACCCTGCCACATTGTTAATTTAACACATTCGCAGCACAGGAATATCCCACGTAGTTTATATTCTTCAGCAAGGACCTAAAGGAAACAATCATGCAATTTATTCAATGCCAAAAGAAATGGGTAGAGCAAAAGTAAATATGTGGCGAATGAATGCAAACAAAAGCGAAGAAGAGGCTTTATTTTTGGGCAGAATAAGAACAATCATCATTGTAAATTCTGCATATAAAATAATAACACAATGGCTTTTGGGTACCAATTAAAGTGGGTGACAAAAAATGACATACTGAATAAAAGTAAATGTGGATTCATTTCAAATGAATGTTAATAATTTTTGCTTTTATTGTTTGAGTATTCAAATGTTATATTTTATAACATTTTCAGTTCATTTCAGTTATTATAAACAAATATATAGAATTATTTTTTATTTTATTATATAGAAATATTTTATATTTTATTAAAGAGAATAGAACATTTTATATTTATATTATATTATATTATATTATATTTTATTTCTTGGTTAAAAAGACAATTTGGAGATTAAGCCTTTATTTTACACTTTTCAAAAACCTTGCCCAAAATCAAATCTTTTCCAAAATTTGGAGATTAAACCTTTATTTTACACTCTTCCAAATCCTTTTCCAAAGTCCTTGCTTAGTGTTATTCCATGGCTTGAGCTGTGCATTTATTTATTATTTTTTTAATCAAAGTTTGAAACCCTTTTTGCCTGTATATTTTTTCACTGTAAAATTCATCGAAATATACACTAAATATCAGTTATTTTTTTTACCTTTCCCAGATTTTTTTATTAGTTTTATTAGCTCTTATATTTTTTTTGAAATATATTTAATATTTCTTCTATTTTTTTTTGTTTCAGTTCGAGATCATTGCCATCGTGCCCGCAGCGAGGGTGTGGATGTAAAGGCCCGTCGCAAGCTGATTATTGCCAGTATTTTGTGTCTGGTTTTCATGATTGCCGAAATTGTGGGTGAGTAGTGTAGCAGCAGACTCGAGTTCATTTTTAATGCCACGGGGAAGTTGCCCATTCATTACGCGAGAACCCACCCCCCCCCACACCCCGCCTTTGAGTGTTCGGCGGACTGGTCTTTCAATTCCAGAAATTCCCCACCTTTTTTTTCACTTCCTTTTTTTTGCTCTTTCTGTCTCAATTCCCAAACTAATTTCGCTCACCTCTGAGAAACTGAGCCCACAAATAAACAAGCAAGTATAAAGAAGAACAGAGAAAGCAGAGAAAAAGGAAGAAAATGTGAAAGTCAAACAATTCGGGCAGCAAAAAGGGAAAACGGAAAAGGGATACGGGACAAAGGACAGCGGACAGCGGACACGGGACAAGCAATACAAGCAGGAGACGACGATGACGATGAGGACGACGACGACGACGAGACGATTAAAAACTGAGCACCGGAAGTGCAACAATATGGCGACCGGAAGGGCTTACTGTCTGCTGTCAACCCCGTCTCACTTCTCGCTTCATTTATGACAAGGGGATGGGCAGGCCCTTAACAGCAGCAGGAGCAGAGGGTAATCGGTGGAGTCAGGGGTGCTGGCTGGGGGTTCTGTTGGTTATACAATAAACATTTAATTTTCGAGTGGCGACGATGTCTCGGGCTCCTTGGACGGACGGCTGTTGCCGTTAATCGCTTTGCAATTACCTACAATGTGCCCATTTCCCTTCCTACCCTTCCTACCCTTCTACCCCATCTCCAACCCATTGGCGATCTGGCAGAGTAAAAAGGGATTTTTTTTTTGCCCAGTACCTTTTGCTGTGGCCTTCTCTGTTCGCTTTCAAATCGAAACTGTTGTCCAAGAGAGCTCCTCCTTTTTGCTGTTTTTCTTTTTTTTCGTACACACAACCAAAGCCGAGGGGATTGTCGAGTCCTTGTATACCCTTAACCGTACCCGTACCCGCACCCGTACCCTTATCTCTTTGTACCTCTCTCCCTTCCAATCATCTCCCGCAATTCCCACAGATTGTCGAGTTAATTTTTTGCGCATTTATTTACTCACTTTCCCCGCCATTCGCACCAATCTGCTCTTCTTCTCCACAGGTGGCTACCTATCGAACAGTCTCGCCATTGCCACAGACGCCGCCCATTTGCTCACAGATTTTGCCAGTTTTATGATCTCATTGTTTGCCATCTGGATTGCCGGACGTCCATCTACGCAAAGGTAAGTACCGGCCCCCACCCAGCCACGAATTTCCATTCTCTCCCCCAAACAAAAAATGGAGACACTGCCAAAAGGCATTTGAGAACGAGTGGGGGGACGATTGGGGCACGACGGAGAGGGGGAAATCAATAAAACGTAAAGTTTTTCTCTTTTTTTCAATCTTATTTCCATTCGTCTTTTTTTTTTTGGTGTTGCCAAGTTCTGTGACATTTTGGGAGTACGCTTCCCCTCCATCACGATGGAGACCAAAAGACCCTTTTTGCGCAAGTAATGTAAAACAATTTTTTGGAAAATATCCTTTCTTTTGGCCCAACTTTGGGTATGCCAACTATTTGGGGCATTTATTTCTAGAATTTAAGTGGCGCCAATGTTTAAAGATAGAAGAGATTTAGCTGTAGGTATTCACCCAAAAAGAAACTTTTAACTTAGTATTTTTAAGAAATTATTCTTTGCAAAAAAAAGATTTATTAATTTAAATCATTTGCGAGAAATCTGTGAAAAATATTCTCCTTCAAGTAGTCCTTAGGTAGTTCTTGCAGTGATATACAAAATAGTTTTGATAATGGGATACAAGCAAACCTACGTAGAAATTAAAATAAACCATTAAAGCATTTGAATGTCGACACTAAAAAAAACAGAAGAAACTTTTGAGATATTAATTGAGGCAGAAGTCTCATTCGGATACTCAAATTTATTTGGAAATTTAAGAGAAATTAAAATAGAGCCATTAAAGTGATAAAGTTCATTATTCTAGGGATTTATATTGGTGTAATATTATTATATATTACTTTATTATTGAATTATATATTAATTTATTATTATTAATATTATTATATATTAATTTATTATTATTTTATATTCTATTAAAACTCTGCTAAACTTTATGCTACAGAGCTACACTCTAATATAGCTTAATATTCTGCTGCTCTGCTGTTCTGTTACTTATTTTCCATTATCTCTCTATGCATCAGTCTTGATCTTTATAATGCTCTTTAAATTTCGAATATCTTTCTCTTATTTCTTTATATAATTTATTTATTCGAATCGTAGTGTATTTGAATGGGTCTTGCATTACAATTTATATTCCATTTTTCTTTAGTGGCGCCCCACTATAATTTCTGTCGCTCGACTGGGCCCATGGCACATGGGCGTGCCCTGTGCCCTGCCCATCTTCCCCATCCTTTTCTCCATCTCTCTCACTCACGCTCTGTGTAGTTTCAAGCAGCCGTGTCTCCGGTTGGGCCTCCATTTCCCCATTCGCCATCGTCTAATTAGGCGAAAAGCCTGTTTCCAAATTTTCAGTGCCTTCCTCTTTTTGCGTCCTGTGGTTGCTTTTGTTGCAGTTGTAGCTCTGTTGTTGCTGTTGCAGTTGCCTCTGCCTCTGTTGCTGCTTTTGTTGCAGTTGCCTGCTGCTGTTGTTGCTGCTGCCTCTGTTGCTGTTGCTGCTGCTGCTGTGGCTGCTGCTTCTGCGTACAGTTCGGCCGTTGCACATTTTTCAATTGGTCTTTGGGACCAAAAGCAAGAGCACTCCCTGCTCTACTGATGCTGCTGCTGTTGCTGCTGCTGCTGCTCCTCTGCATCCATCTTGTGCTCAAACTAGAAGGCAGAAGGCCAAAGGGGGAGGATCTGGGGGGTGGCAAGCGGCACGTTCTGCTCATTCATGCAAAAATCTCACTCACTCGACGACTCGACTGCAGCCACAAAGTGAATAATGAAAAACTTTTGCAATTTCAAGCGTGTTGCATGGTAATTTTGTAAATTTTGCTGCTGCTGCTGGTGCTGCTGCTGGTGCCTCAGACTCTGTGAATCAGCCTCCGACTATGCCCCTCGTTGATGTTGTTTCACTCTCTCAGTCTCTGTCTCTGTCTTGTGTTCTTTCTGGTTGCCATTGCCATTGCATGGGTGCTGCATGGCTGCATGGCTGCTGCTGCTGCTGCTGCTGCTGCATGTTTGTTGGGATTGGTGGTGGCAATGAGGAGGCCTTAGTGTTCAGCCTTAGCTTCAGTCTGGTCTGGAAGGAATGGTCTCTGTGTGCGGTTCGCAGAATTTCTACCCCACCACTCCTTGGAATTCTCTGCTTGATGCCAAACAACCACCCACCCAACCATTGTGGCGCCCCCGTTGCCGAGTTGACAAGCCTAATTTATCAAAACAAAACACATTTGCACAATTGCAGCGGCAAACGCAGAAAACGAAACTCAAAACGAACCTAAAACTAAAACACGGTACAGCACAGTGAGCTAAAAACTATTTATTTTGAATACAATTTTTTAGAGAGTAATGGGAGGAACATTCTTAGGTTCAATACTCGGCACTATGCTCAAAAAAACTTAAATAAAAAATTAATGATGATGATGGACCGCGATTTATTACGAATTTTCGTAAAGAAACGTAAAGAAATGGCGATAAAAACCGCAAAACAGACCCATGCAACTTCCCATAAATACACAATATACATCTTTCGGGCGAGACTTCATGCTTACATTTTTGTATGAGCAAAAATAAAACTTTTAACTTACTTTAAAAAATAACTATATATATTTTCTGCACGAAAATTCTTAATAAATCGCGTTCCATCGAGGGAATTCTTTTCGAGATCTTAATAGCATATCGAAAATTTAACAATTCTTGTAAATGATTAAGACTTAGATATGATAACTTATACATATGAAATTTCCATGAAAGATCACACAAAGTGCCTTACAATTACTAGCCAAATAATCCTTTAATTTAGGCATGAATCGGAGAGGAAAAGTATACATTGCTATCGAAATTAAATGCATGGTTTAACTCAATAATATTCAAACATTAAACTCTAAAGTACATATTCCAACTAAATAATTTACCCAAAATCAGCAGGCTCCTATTTCCGCTGCCATTTAACTTTGTTTCTTGGCCATAAAACTTCAATCACTTTTATTTATGTTTTATTTTATTTTATTTCCGTGCATTGATTTGCATTTTAAGTGGAATGTTTTTTCCGGGCTTGTCTTACATACGAGTACAAGGCCATATTTCATTTTCGCTAATCCCAATTAAGTGTTTCGGCTACTTACTTTTAATTATCATGGTGCCAGGACCCACTGTGTGAGGGCGCTGCAACCATTGAGGCTGCTGCTGCTGCTGCTGCTGCTCCTCCAGCCAGCTAGCACCGACAGCAGCAGGCGGTCATTAAGCAAATGGCTGCACTTGCAACAGCAACGGGGGCCCCGCTCCCCTACCTCCCCTCCCGTACCGACATACCCACTACTATATATATTCATACATATATTGGACAGAATCTGGGGAATGCAGCAGCAGCAGCAGCAGGGAGTGGGCAGAATGGGCAGGAGTTGGAGGACACGACGGATGTTTGCTGGAAATTAAATTGTATTATTATGGCGAGACATTCGTTGCTTTAGCTTCTGCTCCTAGGGGCTGCTAGGCGGCTGCCTGGCATCGCATTAGTTAGCAGGCTGGCAAAATTGTTGCCTTTTGCCATTATTTCAATTTTATAACGAGAGTGGCGGCATTCGCCTCTCCTCTCCTGCTGTCGGTTACCGGTTACGGTCTGCTCTTTCACTTGGGTAGGGCTTTAATTGAACGACCCTCGACTTGGTCGCCGTTGCCGTCGCCGTCCTCGTCCACGTCGTTGAGGTGTTGACTTTGAACCAACCGAAACAAACAAAAATATATACCAAAAATATATGCGAGTATGTACGTGTAGGTGAACGCACATGCAAAACGCTCATTACATTAGGGAAAAAGGAGGGGAGAAAGCGAACTGCCGCTACTCCTACTATTCCTACGGCAACAACACCGAAAAATTATCATCTAGGTAGGTAGAACCACACCCCAGAAAATGAAAATGGAAACGAGAATTAAAACCTTTGTGTGTGTGTGGAAACTCAAATTAAAATGGCATTTAACAAATTTTTGGTCACATTTATCAAGTCCCTGCTAATGCCTGACTTGACTTCTCTATGCTATGGAAAATCATCCCCCCCCACATCTGATCTCTCCCATCCCCCACATACTCTATAGAAATTGGGCATCATGCCCCACACACATATTCCACAGAAATTTATGTGAGTGTGTGTGTGTATTTTGTTTTGCAAGTGTTTTGTTTTTGACATGGCCTTTCTTTGAGGTTTGTTTGGAAATTTACTGTGAGTGAAGCTTCCTTTGATTGGTCGTAAGTAATTCAATTAAATGTTGTTACACACTTTTGGTATACAGTTAACGATGATAGATGAAAATAAATTTAATTTGAATGCAATATAATTTAATTTTCAATTGAAATTTTAAATGTAAAACTTATTTTAGAGCAAGAATGCCTATCAAAATAATTACAGACATCTATTGATAGTTAAAAAAGAGTTACAAGTGGAATCTAAACGATAAAATGTACAGGGAAAAAATAGAAAAGTTTAATATTTAAGTTCTTTTGTTAGAAGAATTCTTAAAAATTCCTTTGGCAACTTTAAGAAGCAAAGTTTTTCGTGTGCAATTGCACAGGAAATACTCGTAGTTATTTTTCCTGTTACCGGCACACCTTACACATAATTTCTGATGCTTTTTTCTTATTGTTTCTTATCTTTTGACAGGATGTCCTTTGGCTGGTATCGCGCCGAGGTCATTGGCGCCATGGCCTCTGTATTCCTGATTTGGGTCATCACTGGCATACTCGTCTGGCTGGCCATCGGACGCCTCATTACGGGCGACTTTGAGGTGGATGCCAGGATCATGCTGATCACATCGGGACTGGCCATATTGGTTAATGTCATGTAAGTACGCTGCTGCTACCTATCCGTTACTATATGTAGATCTTTGATGGCAGAGCGCTGCTGTTTGCTTGCTGCTGTCTGGGGCTGTCACTCCTTCTGTCTATCTGTCTATCTGTTTGTGCGACTGTAAAGTTTTCCCGCTGTTTTCCCACGGGCAGTTTTCCAATTGCAATTGCCGCAATCAACTTGTCCCGGATAGGGAGCGAGGAATAGAAGGAGGAGGCCCAGGGGTCATGGCAGGGCCAGCAAATGGGTCAACATAGTGCTGCAAAATGTCTCTGCGAGGTGGTGCCCGTCGATCCTCAAGCCCAAGCATTGCCAATGCTCATTCCCTTTGTGGCATTCCCCCACGTATACCCTACGCCAGTTGTTGCGGCAACTTTCTCCACATTTTAGCGACAACTTTTTCCACAAGTTTAGAATTTTTCCACCTCCTATTGCTCTGCTCTTTCTTTTTGTGCGATTTTTTTTCTTCTGCGTCAACAAAAGGCCAAAGCGACGAGCAACGACTACGACGACGATGACGACGAAGAGGAGTTTGCTTGGTGTTTGCCTTGGCTAGCCCCAAAGGTGGTGTATTCGCCAGACTGGGGACTGGAGGGTACTCTCACCCCCCAATGCCAGAGTACCCTTCGTATAATGCCTGCTGAAGACTCTGTCGCTGTGGATGCGATTGGATTTTATTTCAATTTGGAAAGCTTAAAAATTTAATCGAGAGTTGACAAAGTTTTCAAAACGCTTTTCAACTGCCATTGCGCCAGGGTGTACGCTTTTATGATCTTTAGATGGTGGGCACCAACGAGTGTTTTTATGATATTTTGATGGGACTACTATTGAATGATCTTTTGATGGGGCAGGTCCCTTTCAGAAAAATTTCATTTGGAATTTCATATATTTATATTTCTATCATTTACACGATTTTCTATAAGCCAGATGGTTCCCTAATACTGAGAAAATGTCTTAAAGTATTTCTTTAAAATACATACAAAGTTTTTTCAAATTTTTCCCTTCTCCTAATAAATTAAAGGATTTTTCTTTAAAATCATTACCCCCCAAATGAAACATATTATTTATCGATAGCATATCTTTTTATGCATAATTTAATTTAATTTAATTTTAACGAATAATTTAACGAATATCGCCATCGATTTTTATCTATAGCATATCAATTTTTTCTATCGATTTATATCGATTTGTTTATCGATAAATAGTATAGATCCTGAATTAAAAAATATATTTCATGTGCATATTAGAGGCATATTTCTCTTCGTTTTCCAATTTCCTAAACATTTCCGCTTTCTGCTTGTTTTGATTCCGTCGAGTGCAGCACCTGCCAGGCAAGCATACCCATACACTGCCCAACTCCACGCCACCAACCTCTTTCCCATTATCAGCGCCTCTTCAACCAGCATGGCCCCCACCTCCCCCCCTGCTCTCCTGCCTCATTCATGCTCATTCATGTGGCTGTCGAAGCATAGTTTTTGGCGCATAAATCGCAACGTTCAATGCCTGAGAGCTGCGCACACACACATGCAACATGCCCTCCCCCCCACGCTCTCTCACCTCACTTTACCTCTCTCTCGCGCTCTCTCCCACCCCCTCCCACTATATCTCCCTCTTGTTGTTGTTGGTCGTAGTAGTGTTCCGGGGATAGCGCAAAAATTTTCCAGTTGACGTTGGCATTTTCACTGTTTGCCACTTGAATTGTTTGATTACGTGAATTGATTGTGAAAAACGTGCAGCAGAAGCAACTCTCGTGTTCTCCTTTCTCCTTTTGCTGCTGCCTGCTTGCTTGGCTTAGATGTTGTTGGCCAAGAAGACCAGAAGAAGTTGGCGGCATGGCATGGCATGGCATAGCTGAGGCCATCCCAAAAGATGCTCTGCCATAAAAATTGGAAGTAAAGTCAAGTCTGGGGGCTCCTCGAATGGATGCCATCTTGCTTTCATTCTCTGTGTTCGAACAACGGTATTAAATGGCCACCTTTTAACCGTTATGTGCGTTTGTGGCTGGGTGGCGGGGTGGCAGGGTGTGTCGATCATGTCCGTAGCTGGTAGTCGCTTGCAAAGTTTTCGCCAACCTATTTTGCTGCCACTGAAGGCTTTTTACTTAGTTTCATTTAGTTGTAGTAGAGGCTACTTCCTGTCTGGTTTTCATTTTCTCCAACGAGTTTTTAGTTCAATTAGCACAATGCCAAAAAACACACACACACACACATACACACGCACCACACCAGAAACATTTTCCCCCTCCCATTCCCATTCCACGAGTTTTCTTTGTGCTTTTGTTGGTGTTGTTGTTGGGTTAACTTTTGAGTGGCGGCAACGACGCGTCGTCCGACGACTTCACATCGTTAAAACGCCCATTAGGACCGCCAAAAGCAGGACCAAAAAAGGAGAAGGAACGTGTGAGTCGCTTCAAATGGGGAGGAACAAAAACGTACTCAGTCAGTATATACAGAGAGAAGAATTGAAAAAAAAAAAATTTTACATTTTACATTGATGGGTTAGTCGCTTCTCATCTACAAGATCTATTCTACATGAAAGATCAATTACAGTAATTTAGATACCGTAAGGGGTTGCTTGGCACTGAACGGCAGAGTGTGCGAGCGAGAAGGAAAATGAGTTGTGTTGTCGTTTGATGGAGGGGGGGCAGGGAAGGAACTGAAAATTAATTTCTTCATTTTGGCTATAATTATGATCCGATCTGATTAGATTCGGCAATCTGGTAGATATGGCCATTTTCTACATACTGCGTTTTTAGTTTTATCGTATCTTTAAATGTGCCTCCACATTTTCGACCTTTGTGGGAGGGGAAGGGGGGTGGGCGAAATTTTGATACACTAGTAGCAGATACACATGGCAAACAAAGGCCCTAGCTATAGACTCTGATGGCGTAACCTTAAGACGGACAGAGGGACAGACGGACAGACGGACAGACGGACAGACAGACATGGCTCTAGACGGTCTATTGATGCTGTAAGAATATATATACTTTATGGAGGGTCGGAAAGTTTTGGTGATTCTCGTAGCAGGGATCACTTACCACGAGGCAGGTACCCTCTTTTTGAGTACGGGTAAAAAGGAAGGCGGAGGCAGGCAGGAGATGAGTGAAACAGGAATAGACTGAGGGTAGAGAGAGAGAGAGAAGAAATGAACGGAGAAAATACAGTGAAAGTTATGCCAAGGGGAACAGTCGCTTCTAACCGGAGAGATCTTCTCACTGAAAGATCAATTAAAGTTGGGAATAGAGGACTTGGGAACTGGAGGAAATGGCAGATTTGTCTTAGTTGGATGGTATGAGATATCAAAGATATTTTGGGATATTTCTAATGTTGCAAAAAATTATTCTCTGAATTCTGCTTGTGTGCGTCATGCAGCAGCGCTTCTCGGTCGCTTGGATGCTCTGTTAACCTTTTAAAAAGTGTTTTCACTGTACCAGAACCTACACACACACACACACACAGTACGACTCTCATGTAGCGTGACCTTAAGCGGCAAGTGGGACATTAGCGAGAGCAAAAGTCAGTGAAATATGAGAGGTTTTTTTTTTGTGAACACTGGAAGGAGCGGGGTGTTGGTGATTCTTAGAGCAGGGGAAAGTGGAGGCAGGTGGGGTGCTTGGGGCAGGGAAGAAGGCAGGCAGGCAGGCAGGCGATGCTTAGTGAAGGAAAGACTGAGGGTAAAGAGGTGCTAAAGCAATTACAACCAGAGTGTGCCGCAGTAAGGTGCTGCTGGCAATGGGACTGAGAACCGGAATGGGAATGAGAATGGGAATGGAAGAATGGCAGTTTGCTTGTTGGACGGATGATTTTACGGAATTTTTTAATTAGTACAAATGTTTGGTCAAAGGTTCTTCTTAGTGTTGGAATGAAAAGTGAATTCTACCTCTACCAATAACCCTATTAATCTAGAGTTTGAATTAATTTAATGAATTTAAATAATAAATTTATTTGTCAATGAAGTTAAAGTGAAATTATATTAACTTGAATTTAAAAATTTAAACTCATAGCTGTGATCTGAATTTAAAATTTAAATTGTTTTAGATTAAATTTAAAATTTATTTATATATTATGCTCAAAGAAAAGTTAAATTTATTAAATTTATCTAAGGAATTTAAAATTTAAATTTATTTTATTAATTTAAAAATAAAATTTATTTAATGAAATTAAAAGTTAAATTTATTTAATGAATTTAAAAGTTAAATTTATTTAATGAATAAAAGTTAAATTTATTAATAAATTTATTAAATTAAATTAATTTTTAATTTAAATCTGTGTGTGTTTTTTTTTGCTTAAACAGTCAGTCAGTCAGTCAATTATTATGATTGTGTACATAATTAATAGCAATTTCAAAAGGTAAACCAAATTAAATTTAGTTTCAAAAGTCACCCACTTTCAAGAGACTTTATCTAACTTAATGTATGCCCAAAGCACATCAATAATGGTTTTTCTATACTCTCTTTAAAGATTCCCCATTATGTGGCTGCCTGCACTACTCATAAATTGTATGCCATTTATTGTATATGCTTAGTGTATTTACTATGTGAATATTGAGCCTCTACTACACTCCACGCTCCACTCTCCTGTCCAGCTGTCCATCCAGTCAGCCAGCCAGTCAGCCACTTGAGACTGGCATGGCAAGGCTGGGGCCAAAAGCTTGTTAGCCTGACAACTCAATTTCATTTTCAATTTCTTAAGACCACGCTGTGATGGTCTCCCAGGCTGTAGCCTGCTCTCTCTCGAAAAGCATCTACCCAAGCCAAATGTGGCCATAATTTGTCAAACCCACAAAAAGAAAGAAAAGAAAAAAAGCTGACAAAAAAAAAACTACAGCGTATGGTGGAAAAAACAACCAAGAAGAAATATAAACGATGATGAAGATGGGAAAGATGCGAGGCAGCGCGTTGATGGGCCACTAAATAAATTGTACCGAGCACCAGCAGAGCATCAGAGCTCCAGAGAGCCAGAAACCCAGAGATCCAGAGCCAGCTTCAGCTACGAGGCGCCTCGAATCTCCAGTTGCAGGAGGTGGCCACTCATTCGTCCTGGCTGCGGCCTGGTCAGTGGTGTTGCTTGCTCCTACTGTGATGCCAGGGATTCAATGCGAAGCACATACGCTTTTTGACTTTGAACATCCGATTGCCGAGGCATTACCGGGCTCCACCTCTCTCTCTCACTCTCTCTCTATCATTCTGCTGCCCCTGCTCCAGCGTGTGTGTGTGTGTGTCCTGGAGCGCAAAAAATGCCAATGCGAGCGACATTCCCCCAACATCAGCGGTGTACTCCCCTGCCACAGCCACTGCCACTGCCACCAGTGCTAACCCATGGCATTGTTGTTCCAACTGTGTCGCTGTAATTTGTAGCGCGCAATGAAGCATTTCCCTTGATTTTGCGGCATCTTTACTCGCCTCGTTAGTGGCCAACAAACGACAGCAGCCATGACAACACCAGCCATGACTCTGGTTCCTACGACCTACGGACGAGAGCTCCATAGCTGGCTGCCGGGCTTGCTGGCTTGCTGGCTCACTGGCAACGTGGCAACGTATACGCCATGTCCTGATTTAATTGACAGGAACATAAATATTAGCGCATATCTTGACTCAACTCGCCTTGGCTTTGGCTTTCCTTGTGTGTGTGTTGGTCTCTGGTCTGGTCTGGTCTGGTCGGGTCTCGGTTGGGTATCGTATGTGACTGTTGCCAGGATTTGCCGGCTGCTCCAGGATGTCTTGGGGAATGTGCACCAGAGCTCTGCTGGGTTCGGTTCTGGCTGGCTCCACAGTCCTGGATGTCATCCGGATGAGCAGCTCGTTAAGCTGTCGGAGGACGAGCAGGAGAATCCGGAGAACCAGGACTAAGACCAGCAACAGCACCAAGACCAAAGACACACACACACACAGGGATAACGACAAGGGGACACGTTTATTGCGCTCATCTTAACGCGCATTTTACAACCGGGTGTTGTTATTTATTTTGTTCGTGGTCTGTCTTAGACAGCCGCCGCCCCACGCTCTCCGCCCTCCCCCCAAAGCATACGGTAGAGTAAAGGGCTGTAAACTTCCTAAAAAAAACTTTTTTCCAAAAATTAACTGCAAGAAAGAAGAGAAAAATCCCAGAGGATGTCCAAGTGGCAGAAATCCTTAGGACTCCTTAGACAAATTGCTTATGAGAGAAAGTAATAGTGGGAAATTTATTTTTATTTATTTATTAAAATGGATTGTCTTTGAACGGAAAATGGTTTGTCTTTTGGGTAAAGTATGCAGGAATTATCTTACGTGGCTGAAAATTTTATTGATAGAAAAAATACGAATATTAGTTTATTTTTTTTGTTCATATTTTTATTATTATTATTATTTATTTTTATTCCATTTTGATGTGGTTAATCTTCTTTGCTTCTTAATCCTTCTTTCATTTCCTTCTTCTTTGAATCCATTTCAATTTTATTTTTCCAACGGAATTTTCATCCTTTAAATGGACTTGCAACCCTTTGGCCCCGCCTCTTTCTACCGTAAAGATTTTTGGCATTTCCATTCGCCGTTAAATTTAATTTTCCAGCTGGAAATGTTTTCATTTGACTTCTCCGAGCCAAGTTCGCTCTCATTTGGGGTCGTCGTACATCAACCCAGTTTTTCGTAGTAACTCCACCACTCCCCGACTCCACCCGTCGCAGCCAATCTAATGAACTTTTACGAGTATGGGCCCTGCCGCGCGACGTGATATCTTTTTAAGAGCATCAAATTGTCTTTGAGTCAACAATTGACGTTACGTCAATTAGCCGCAAATCGACATTGCCGTCGCAGGGTTTGAATGGGTTTTTTTGGGGGCTGTTCGGTCTACGGATTGTTTGCCGGCTTGTCTCTTTCCATCCCACACTCCCACAGAGTCGTCTGCTGCCGCTGCTGCTGCTCCGTGACTGTTCACTTTGTGCTTTGTGTTTGGGACCTGCCAATGGTTTGTGCGTAATTTATGCGAGTTTATTTATTGATGCCCCGGCACACAGTGCATTGTTTTCCCCGAAAAAGCCGGCTAAGTGCAGCCGGCGGACAAGAGTGGAGCCACAGCCCCATATATAGCTCAAAATCCATACAAAACGGAGCAGCAGCAGCAGCAAAAGCAGCAGCAGAAATCGTCTCTGTCCGTTGTCCGTGTTGTCCGTATTTGGGTATGTCGGTTGGCCCGACCATGGCCTTTTTCCTCCCAAATAGAAAACCCATAAATCTGCAATGTCGGAGCATTTAAAATGAATAAAAAGTCAATGTGCCGAGCTATTAACTGCCTGATGCATGCCGTGTGAGGGGGGACGGACGCACAAAGGGGGATTACGGGCGGTGGTGGCAAGTACTGGTAGGAGGAGGAGTTGATGGGGATACAGTGGAGACTAGTCAACCGGTTGCCATTTTCGACAATACATTTGTATTTGCATGCGGCAATGCATCCGGACGTACTCTGCAACTGGAGCAGAACCAGCCCCAGTCACAGACCCAAATGGGCCTCGGATTTTTGGGCACGGGCAGACGTTGGAGGAGGAGGGGGGGGCGGGGAACGACGATTCGCACACACCTTCCGGTACAGAGAACAGCAAAACATTGAAAACTGAACCTATAATGGGGCCAGGGAGGTGGTTCCATGGAGTACTAAGAGGAGGTGGTTCAGGGTGAGAGTGAGAGAGAGACTACAGTGTGATGGAGTCATTTATTTTTGAAAAGAAAAATGTAATTGATTTATGGATATTACTGGAAAATTTAGTAAAAGTTTAAAGGGGTTGCTAAATGTACACAAATATATTTCCGAGAGAGAAAGAGAAAATATTGTGTATATCAGCTATTATGGGGTTTATTTCTATTGTCTGTTTTGGTACTGGAAATTTATTGTAAGCACATTTAAAAGTTTTTTTGCTTTAAAAATTCAGTATGGGATTTTTTTCCTTTTTAAATATTTACATTAATTTTCGCAATAGAATGTATATTACCTTAATGGGAATCTTATATTTATATTTTACCTTACGGAAAATTCCCCTATCCGAATAACAGCAATTGCTGGACCAATTTCTACAATTAAACAATATTTAGCATGCATTTTTCTATACGAAAAAAAAATAATTCCAATGCAATAACTGAGCAAAAACACTGCCGGCTAGTGGGAATTTTTCAGTTTTAACTTTTATTTACGCTACAGAATTTATACTTATTTCTGTTAAAGTTTCTACTTTAAATTTAGTTTTTTTGTGTACATTTTCATTAAATATTTTTGATACTTTTTGCTGCACTTTGACCGCACTGTGCGTGACCTGTGTGTTTGCCCGTTTGTGGGTAGTGTTGTTGGTGCATTAAAATTCTGAAATAAAATACGAAACAATGCAAAAGCGTTGCCCGCATACCGTCCGCATCCGCCACACCACTCTCTGCCAACAAACACAACACACAAAAAGCAAAAAAACAAAAAAAAAAAAATTGGGAAGGAGAAGAATCCAACTTTTTGGGATGCGTTTTTGTTTTCGTACTGTGGCCTGGCTATAACGTGGCACAGACAGGCGGTGAGGGGCCACACCACATAGCTCTTGCAACATTTTCAAGTATATTAAATATTTGTGATAACGTTTTCAATTTCTTTCCCTCTTTCTCTCTCTCTGCCGTTCAGAATGGGCGTCCAACTGCAGCATGGGCACTCGCATGCTTTGGGCGGCGGTCATGGCCATAGCCATGGCGGCGGCGGCGGCAGCTCCAACAAGAAATCCAAGAAGCCAAAGAAGTCAAACAAAACGGGTCGGCTGCCGTCTCATGCCCATGCCACATCCACGCCATGCGCTGCCTCGCCCACAGAGCGAATTGAGGGCGGTGTGGCCTTTGCACCCGAGGATGCTGAATTGCCGGCCAGCGGATTGCCGACCTACTCCTATCAGAATGCCAAGTTGGTGGATCCGACTCTGGATTTGGAAATTGCGGCCGTGCTGGCCGAAACGGCGCCGGGTGCCCATCATCATGGCGGGTCGACGGGTCGTGAGGCCGTCAACATGAATGTCCGTGCCGCGCTGATCCATGTGATTGGCGATGTCATCCAGAGTGTTGGTGTGTTTCTCGCTGCTCTTGTGATCTACTTTTGGCCAGAGTACTCCATCGTTGATCCCATTTGCACATTTGTGTTCTCCATCATTGTGCTCTTCACCACCTTCACGATCATGAAGGATGCCCTGCTGGTAAGTGGTATGAAAGTAGAAAAAAAAAGGGATAACGTATTTGTTCGTAAAATTTTAACCTCTCGCTTAAAATATTTAAAATGTAATTTAAAGTCATTTAAACAGTTTTAAATTTCCAATCCATTTTAAATGTAATTTTCACACACAATTGGAAATGGCGAAAAGCATTTTCGTGACTTGAATCATCCATCAAAAAACAACACAAGAAACATGCTGAACACATTCAGCATGAAATTGAATAATAATATTAATTTAAAATTTCAACCATTCAATGAATGAACTGACTATCCATAATTGAATCCAATAATTTGATAGATATTGTTGAACCCGCTCTGAATAGGCAACAATTATCAAGGCATTGAGTTCATTTAACAATTAAAAAAAAGTAAACTACGCGTAGCGTTCAATGTCTGTGAAGTAATCAGAGATTATTTGTTGTTGCTTGCAGGTACTGATGGAGGGTACACCCAACTATATGCATTATGCCGAAGTGCTGCAGATATTCCAAGCCATTGAGGGCGTTGAGCGGGTCCACAATTTGCGCATCTGGGCGCTGAGCATTAATAAAGTGGCGCTATCTGCGCATTTGGCCATTGGTGAGTAGTAGCAGCCTCCACAACCCCTCCGGTGTGGTCCGTCCGACGGTCCGTCCGTCCATGTGTGTGGTGTGTGCCATGCCTCGAAACAGGCCAAAAAGGTTGCTGATACATGTGTTTGTCCATGGCACCCGTCGACCCAACCCGACCCCACCCCAACCGACCCACGTGCAAGCGCGCTTTGGGGGTATGGTAATTATCCGAATGGATTTGTTGTTGTTTTAAGCTGCCTTTCCTCCATACCACGAATGCTGCTGGCAGTCCTTCCTGCTGCCTGCTGCCTTCTACTGCTACTTGCCCATATCCATGGGCAGTCAGTGCGCAATTAGCTTAATTATTTTTGAAATGGCTTTTTAAGCGTGGACAATTTTGAAAGCGCGACTGAAGCAGAGGGCGGCGGGAGTGCGCTGTACTCCTCCTGCTCCCACCATTAATGTTATCATTCCCGCTGATACCGCTTAATCGTTTCCTTTTTTTTACCACCCCCCCCCTCGCACACAGCTAACAATGCCAATCCAAAGCAGATACTGGATGCAGCCACTTCGGCGGTACACTTGCGCTACAATTTCTTTGAGACGACCATACAAATTGAGGATTATACGGCCCAGATGGAGAGCTGCATGCAGTGCAATGTGCCAGAAAAGTAGAAGACCAAACCAACCCATGAACCAACTGAAATATATAAATGTTATATATACAATATATTATATATATTAATTAAATGTTGTATCTGTTTAAGTCACGCACACACTTACCCATCCATATGTCTGGCTGGAGACCAGGACTGCAAATCCACTAAAAACTATAAACAACAAAATTACATGTACGAGTATGTTGCTGCTTTTGCTTTTACATATTACCCATCCATCAGTGGGGCAGTTCATCAAAAGCTGGATGGGCATGGGAATGGGAATGGGTCGTTGGGTGTTGAAGCATCTGCATAATGTTGTGGCACACAGGACATATTTCAGACGTACTTTGGCTGCCATCTGGGCTGTGAGTTTTATCTAGAATAGAAATATAAATGTAAGCCATCCACCATCGCCTCGAACCGTCATCCAAGTGTTTTGGGTATACTGCCCACTCGCATAGTGGATTCTAATCAACTCGATCTCCATTCATTTAACCCACTAAAACTACCTAAAACCATTTGTAACAATTTTTTAATCGAATTTCCCCACATACATTCGGCTTCCAAACTCTTGCGCGTTTTTATATTGCAACAATTTTTCATCGCTCCCCATGGTGCATTGGCCGGAAGAGTTTTTCATGTATGTATTTTCCATCAAATTCGATGCATGACCGATATGCAAACACGCATAAAAGTTATTAAGCTGCCGTTCGGGTGCGCTCCGTGGCCACGATCCGCCCGCTGCCAACGGCATTGCACACAAAAATGGCCACCGAGCCCAGAACTAATGCCAATTTATGGGAGACTGCCCTGAAGGCGGGCCCACATCCTCCTCCTAAAACACACACAAACCAAAAAATCTATCCATTGGCTTACCTGAGCCCACCCACCTGGCTCCATTCCACCTGACACCACTCCACTCCTGGCGCTCCCATTATGCATAATTTGACATGTGGCCATTGCGTAAGCGAGGACCACGCTTTGCGTGTGGACTGAAACGAGGCGACGCTTTCAAATTATGTCTAAATTGTTGACCGACAAAACTGGCCGGCATTTCTCTATCTCTAGGCGGCATATGATTCCCGCGTGGGACGGTCTACCACCCACTCCACCGCCTCCTCCTCCTCCTGTTGGTGGTGTTGGGTGGCGCCTAATCGCCGGCAATTTGTTGACAGATTTGCATGCTCCAAGCGAACAAAGACGACGCGGCTGCCACCTTGAACAAATGCCGCAAATTCCAGCCAAACGAAGAATCCGGCGAGGCCATGGCTAGGCTAAGGCCCAAAAGTTGCAGTAAAACACCGGCACTCAGAGGTTCGGCGGATTGGCACCCACTCCACTCACCCACACGCTCCCAGTACCAACAGCCGGCGCAGACGCAGCTCAAAGTGTGCTAAAAAGAGCAAAAGCAGCGAAAAGAGAACGAGGGATTTCGTTTAGTTCGGATTCTCACGTTGCGGCTTTTGCTTTGGCGGCCACTTGACCTGCAGTTGGAATTGAATGCACATGACTCGGCACAGCGGCAGTCAGATGGATGCAGACTGGGTGGCCCCCCACATGCTTTAAGTGAATTAACGTAGCAACACCCACAGGCACAGGCACAGGCACCAAGCGGCTGCAACACAGAAGTCAGGAATTGGTTGTGGAAGTGGGTTAGCTACTTACTCAGCAACATCAAACGAATATTTATGCATTTACTTATTGTGTTAAGTAACTCCAATTGGTTGTAAACTCATATTTTTAATTGTTTTCCGTTTGTAAACAAACTTATAAAATAAGCGTTAGGGCATTTCGACAACGCGTTAGGGATTTTAGCTAAGATCAGGTATCGATAACACACAACTTCAACTTGAGCTGAGCTTTATTGATCAATTGATATGAATTAACACGTGCAGTTACATATTTATATTATATGTAATGTAATTTATGTAGCTTTAATTAAAATGGACCATTTCAGGATCAAAACAAGGCAGCCCTAAGCTACTATCGGTATTTAGCAATATCGATACGAGTATCGGTGCCATGAAAGCGGATCGGCAAGGCAAGTGCCATCGCAAGTGAAACGATCAGAAAACGTAAATAATTGTTTTCTTTAACAAAAGTGATGTTATTGTGTTAAAGTTTAAGTTTTTAAGTGCAGGAATAAAATAAAACAGTCCAGAAAACATTGTGCTGCCGTAAAATGCTTTGAAAACGTTTGAAATGTGCTGCATATGTGCAACGTGTACAAAAATGGCGGCGTTTCAAGGTTAGTGTAAATATTGTGACAAATTTAATTGAAAATTTATATATCTTGGTAAACTTAAATCTGTGGAAATTGTTTGTCATCCCCCACATTGTGTGTTTCGCTAACCCCTTGAAACACTCTGAATTTTCGCAGCAAATTTTCTGCAAGATTCCGCGTGCAGTGTGTTGTTGGGGGGGGAGGGGTGCTGTGCTCCTTTGCCAAGGAGGGCGAAAGTACTTGGAACTGTAGAATGGGAGAGGGCGGGCCCAGACGATGACGTCCAACGTCGTTGCTCATTAAAAACTTTTAGCCAGTTCGAACTTTCTGAGCCAAGAGATAAACAACAAGAAACACAAGAGAGCGAAAAGTGTAAATTATAAAATGCACAAAGTAAACGAAAAGGGCGCGAAAATGTTTGGAAAATATGAGATGAGACCGAAAATTGGAAAATGGAGAACCTGGGAATTGGAGCAATGAGGGGAATAAGACTTGCAGATTTATTTTTGGAATATATATATATATGTATGTACGTATATACAGCGGTCATATGCTTCAAGAAAGTAAAACGAAAATGAAGTGAAAAATACTTTAATTCTCTTATGGGTTGGTTGTTGTTTGGTGGTGTGGTGTGGGTGGGGTGGGGCGTATAAATTTCCGTAGCATTCCCCAGTTGAATGCACCAAACGGGAAACATTGTCCATTGCATATTTTAATCAAGGGAAAATTGTATTGAAAAATATTGTTAACAATAACAGGCAGCAGCGGCTGTGGCGGCGGACGTTTTTAAATGACCCAAGCCCAATACAGCGGCCAACATGTGACACACAGAAATGGCGGCGACAATTAAAACTTTTTACTAGCATTCAAAGTTTTCAATATAAACCGAATGGTTGTCGGTGCCATATCCAGAATGGATCCCGGGCCATGGACACTGCACTGAGGGGAACCGTAAACGACCACTGCCATGAAACCACTCGCAACAACAAGAACAACAACAGCAGCAGCAGCAGCAGCTCGCAACAAAAGCAGAAACGAAAAGCACACAAGAAAGAGGGGGAGCTGGGCTGAATGTAAACGTGGTTTGAACTATCAGATACCTAGTAATTACACAAGTGGCATGGAAACTCAATTCTTTTAATTGCAAAAATGCAAAATAAATTTAGTTTTAAATTTAAATTCAATCAAGTGTTACTAGCCTTCGTACCAAAATACCTTCAGCTAAATAAATTTTTTTCTTTGGTATACATATTCAGTGTGTGTCCAGATCTGGTGCAGCTTAAAGTGTGGGTACTCCGATTACTCCCAATAATTAAATTGGGTGGATATTTGACATAAATTTATAGCTATAAATCTATAATCTATATATAACTAAATATAACTATTTAGATCTTTCTACCGAAAAGTAGACCCATCTAAATCCCCCTCAGACCCACTAAAACGCTCATAGTTAGAAGAAAGCTCAGATTTTTGATGTAATATCAAACCAATCGAGCAGGAATTATGTTTTATAAATTTTCATATGTAACGAAGTACCAACTTTACCAATTACACACGCTTGGTTTTGTGGGCAAATGCCGGGAATAATATGATGACTTTGTAAACCTATTTGAATTGATATATATTTTAGATTAATTTGGTGTTGTGTGAAATCAGATGACACCTACCTGGTTCCTTATATAGTCTAGCGTAACAATTAATAGTAGCCAATTCACATAGGGGAACCGGCAACCAGCACCCGTCCTTAAATATACAATGGCTGTTTGGGCTGTGCTCGTCACAAACGTTCTGGCATTTTCTTTGCCTTCTTCCAAAGCTTCGCAACAATCCTTTGTCACTTTCTCCCATCAGAACCTGCAGAGAGGCCAATAGAACAAATGCTAGAAACAATAGCTGCAACCTCATGGTGGAAGGAACTAATATCGACTATATTGCGGAAGACAAACTTCTACGCGGATGTTATTTGTTATTTGTCGCTCGATTTGCGACAGATTAGCTATGTCTGTTAGTACAATTATTCCATGGCTCCTATATGGATTACTAATCCGAATTGTTCTATATTATGCAACCAAGGTCAGTTTAGTGCATGAGACAACTTTTGCAAATGTTTATTTAATGAAAAATATCATGCCCCTTCTATATTCTCAGGACACTTGGGTTCCTTGCAAACGACTTTGAAAATATCCATAGAATCGTTTGTAGCTACACAGAATCGGAAAAAATAAAATAAAAGAGATGTGCTTTGAGAATAACATTTAGGCAATATCACCCATCAGCTCCTAAATCGATAGCACACTGAACCTGGTCGATTACACATTGAGGGACCCTATTGTAACAGGTTCCAACAATAGCACAGTACGTTGAGAATATCAATTCCCCTTGCTAACAGAATTTTCCGCAGCATTTTACTTGCAGCGAGTTCGATGAGAGCTTAAGAATATGCCTGATAGTGTAGTAGTTATAGTTTCTGGACCTTGATTTACCTGCAAAAAAAGTAAATATGCAGCCTCATGTTTGTGCAACACCCCACTAATGTGGAGACTAGATGAAGCAGAGGTTTTTGTTAGATTTGCCTGATTTGAATTAGCTATACAATTATGCTATAAGTGTTTTCTGTATGGAATGATGACCGGCAGCACAGTAAATTAAAGGTCAAAATGTATGTTGGAAAATGTATATTTAATAATGTAAATCCTTGTATATACATATCATCACTTTTGTTTATTTTTCGGTGGATCAACACACTTGGGTCCCTTGTCTTTGCAATTGTCCTCGATAATTGCTATAACGTTTCTTGGATCTACATAAGAAAATAGTATAAATTTGATGACAAGTTTTGGCAATTGTATGACCTACAACGACCCAGTAGCTTGGCAATACATTCTATCTCGTCCATCGTACATTGAGGGACCATCTTGTAACAATCTAAGAAGCCATCACGCATGCAGTACTGCGAAAACTTCTCATTTGGATCGTTGTCGCACAAGGTGTAGCAATCGTCTATCGCGTCACTCGCAGCGAGTGCAATCAGCGCTTGAGGGAGAGCGTTTATTAATTATAGAAATGATTCTGATGGTTAGATTACCTGCTAGAATTATCAGATGTAACTTCATGGTGATGCAACACTCGACTAGAGTGGAGTCAAGATAGAATTGAGGTTTTTATAGCCTCACCGGGCTGATCTGTGGGATAATTCGAGGCAATATGCGCATGCACACAGATAGCTTTTAGATAACGAAATACTCTACGTTTACAGCACATAAAATAGGTTTATAATATTTTAAAATACTCTGATATATATTCTTCATAGCTTGTGGATCTTACACAAATTGGGGTTTTTTTTTGCATGAAAATTGTAGTTATGACGCGGATACGGAAGCTCTTTTGGAATAGATACAAGAAAAAGTATCAGTTTTATAATCGGTTTCGCAATACATATGTATATGGTATTTACAGGTATGACGCACCTTCCTTATCACGCTTTATGTAAACACATTTCATCATATCCACTTGACATTTACGAACCATTGCATAACATCCGCCCCTGGGCACCTGTTCACTTATCCAAAGGCAGCCGGTTTTAACATTTGTTGACTTGTCACACAAGTCTGCGCAATTTACATCCTTCCACTTTTTCATTTCCACCTTCGGATCGTGTGCAACGTATTCAGCGTATGCAACGTATTTAATATTTATTGATATTATAAATACTAATGGAAAGAGATTACCTGCCAGAGCCAATATATGCCACCTCATAGCGAATAGAAGTATGGGCGTGGAGTGGTGCTGCAGCTCAAGCTGTGGCTTTTTATTACCTGTTGAATTTGTCATGAATACCTGGAAGCCAATAGAAGAAATGCTAGAAAAAATAGCTGCAACCTCATGGTGGAAGGAACATGCGACTGAATCGTTAAAGACAAAGGATTTGGATTTTATCTGTCTGTCGATTTGTGGCAGATTAGCTGTGCCATTTAATACAATTATTCCATGGGTAGGAGTCATGGATTGAGATTCCATATTAATATTCCAAATTATTCCATAATAATTTATGAAACGCGGCATTCCCCAACCAAAATCAGTTTAATACATCAATTAGCTATGACTATTGAAAAGTATATATTTAATGATGTAATAAATCCTCGGATGTACATTTCAGAACTTTAAAATCTATGGATTAGCACACTTGGGTTCCTTGTCTTTGCAATTGTCGAGGACAAGGAGAGAAGTTAGCAACTCTGCTGGATCTACATAAGAAAAGAGGATACATTTGAGGGTAAGTCTTGGAAATCTTGGATAGTATGACCCACCTCGATCCGTTTTATTGGCTAAACATTCTACGTAGTGAATCATACATTGAGGGAGCATCTTGTAACAAGTTTTATCATGCAGGCAGTACTGTGCTTTCTCATCTTTCTCATCGCGTTTGCACGGAACGAATTTGCAGAATTCAAACGTCTCACTCGCAGCGAGTGCAATCAAAGCTTGAGAGAGAGAGATTTAATTAATTATAGAAATGATTCTGATGGTTAGATTACCTGCTAGAATTATCAGATGTAACTTCATGG